GTGTGTGTGTGTCAGTAATCACGAGACGTTAATTCAAGGACTCTTGGTGATCAACTTCAGTCATCAAACATCAATTCAAAATTCGCTACAGTGCCAAGCCTTCAAGCCTAGTGTATAAGCGAATTTAGCTAGCATTAAAGCCTATGCTGGATAACATTGATTACAATACAATCGCCCACCCCCCTCCCCCAAAAAAAGATTAGTTCAATTTCTAATTAGATAAGTTTGTTTCATATATCATTATACAAATAAATCGTGCTCAAAACATCATCCAATCATCAGTAGTGTACGTTGTACAAAATGAACACATCGAATATCGAATTACATTCTACCACAGTGGAAAACGTTCTGTGCTTAACATTAAAGACGAGTTTATCAGCAAAAACCATGTGACTCTGATTCATTATTTCCCCTGTATCTTACTCCAAGTAAATGCTGAAAAGTCGAATTACTTATGAAACTGACTAAGTTCACTTGACAGTTAGGTAGAAATATTATTTGCCTGAAAGCAACTAGACCCTAAATTGACCACTGAGCTCTATTTACTATGTCAAATGAAAAAGACTATATCCGTAATCCAATTGTCACTACTTTAAACCATCAGGAATGGCATATAGTATCTTCATATTAGTTTATTAACTAGATATATCACACTGGGAGAAAAACAGTATTATTTACTAGATGACAATGTTGCGAACAAAATGTATTGCCGTTCATAATCATTTCATCAATTATAATCACACAACTTCAAAACTTGACTTTCATACTTTCCTTTGTCCTTTCTCTCCTATTTGTCGTCAACATTGGCGTGGCAGTAGTAGAATTTTCCAGATATCTGAGTGGAGAGGTGTTGAATCATTCCTATTATACACGTATTGTCTCTCACTTGATTCGATAGACAAAGCTTCTGTTATCAATCTCTCCCTCTCTACACCGTGTGACATTAGATTTAGAAACACTGTCATCTTATCCCATCCATCGTATTTTGTATGGTTGTGTGTAATTGCATGTAGTGAGTGCTACCTACGGCTGAACTATTGTCTAGATTTCTTATCTGATTCGGGTCAACCAATCTAGACTTTCCTGGTAGGTTTTTATGCTTGGTTAGTCTGACTGACTGCCTTTGTTCTAGTGATGTGACGTATGTATTATCATTATTATTATTATAACTATCACTACTATGAATATATTATCAATGTTAATGATAATAATAATTGTAATAATAATAGTAGTATTAATGACGACGTGCATGCCAAACATGCACAGAATAATAATAACACTGACAATAAGGAATCCTAACGATCGGTAGTAATTCCATACAAGGAAGGAACCTCGGAAACAACCTTACGCAGAATTCTCAACAGTTCCTGCAAGAATAAAAGCAGCTGGCGTTCAAACCACACACAAACTCTTTCAGAAACAAGTTTTGTCGGTTAAAAGATCAATTCTGTGGAGCCTTTAAAACAAAACAATTCAGTTTATCTAATAACCTGCCTGCGATGATCTTCAGGTCGAATACACAGGTCAAACTAGTAGAAGAGGGGCAGTCAGTCAGACTAACCGAGCATAAAAACCTACCAGGAAAGTCTAGATTGGTTCACCCGAATCAGATAAGAAATCTAGACAATAGTTCAGCCGTAGATAGCACTCACTACATGCAATTACACACAACCATTCAATATACGATGGATGGGATAAGATGACAGTGTTTCTGAATCTAATGTCACACGGTGTAGAGAGGGAGAGATTGATAACAGAAGCTTTGTTTATCGAATCAAGTGAGAGAGAATACGTGTATAATAGGAATGATTCAACACCTCTCCACCCAGATATCTGGAAAATTCTACTACCACGCCAATGTCGACGACAAATAGGAGAGAAAGGACAAAGGAAAGTATGAAAGTCAAGTTTTGAAGTTGTGTGATTGTAATTTTTTTTATTTATTTTTCATTATAGCTTGATTGCACACTGTATTTTTGGTACAAGTGTGGAATTTTCAGCGTGGATATCGGTAGCCCAAAATTCGCAGGCCGACCATAGATATCGGGTGTGCATCGGCGTGGGCTCGAACCCTGGACCATGTGGATGGTCGGTTGATGAAATGATTATGAACCGCAATACATTTTGTTCGCAACACTGTCATCCAGTTAATAATAATATTAATATCTGGCTATTATTATTGTAACAACAACAAATATTATATTTTTTAATTGTAAGAATTTGAAGAGAAATTATTGAAAAGAATATTCTTCGTTCAGATTGACTTTTAGTTAATCTATTGAACCGCAAATGTTACAAGTCGAAACCGAAAGTCGCCAGAATAATTTCACAGCATTGTGATTCTTGACTGACAGTGTACTGTGTATACACCAATCAAAGTTAACTTGACAATAATAAAAATTAAACCTCTAGTTTATATTTATATTCGATCACGTAAAGAAAATTATCCCATGCTGATGAATGACGATTAAGTTGTAATACATATTAGCTGAGATTTTGTGATTATTTTTTATTATCTGTTTTCTTCATTCGCATTCCCAGTGCGTCGGTGGCACAGTGGTTAGGACTCTCGCCGACCATGCACATGGTCCGGGGTTCGAGCCCACGCCGGCTCACACCTGATATCTATGGTCGGCCTGCGAAATTTGGGCTACCGATATCCATGCTGAAAATTTCATACTTGTACCAAAAATACAGTGTGGAATCAAGCTGTAAATCTAAAAAAAAGGAACATAAGGAGGTTTCAGCCCTGAGTTTTGACCTTTCGGTAGCGGCAGTGTTTATTATCACAGGATTGGGTGGCTAGCCTCATGGTCAACCTGCCCTCTTTTTTACCAGTCTTACTAACGGCTAATCAAGGTAAAGCAGTGCGTCGGTGGGCGGGAGTCGAACCCGGAACTATGTGAGGCCTGGTTGGCAAGCATTCTACCGCTGTGCCACCAACGCACTTTGTAAATTCCGTCTTAATGAATATTACTCTGATAAAGCTGTTAGCATTAAGTAACAAAATGTGAGTGAAAACAACAAAATATTGTTTTGTTTTTTCATTCATTGGGTAATGCAAAAAGAACTTTTATAATAATCTAATATAAAGGTGTAATGAAATTACACCTAACAAAATATTTGTTAATAGCATCTGCTTGTTGGCAATTTCCTGTGTTTATCAAACACTAAGTTAGTTGTTTACAAAACTAATTCATAGATGACCTGATTAGAAATTAACAATTTTATTACTATAAATAGACTATGAAGTGATTTTTCGTGATAGGCAAATTAAACGAAGCGGAAATAGATATTGCAGATGTGAGACTTTATTTTACGACACACTATGTTTTATCTGAAATTTTTTACGCCTTGTGCGTCGGTGGGTTGGCAACTACGCCCTGAGGTTTGATCTTCAGTCAGTGCACAGTTCCACCTGTTTTAGCCAGTAATAAGATTACTAAAGAGGGAAGATAATAATCATAAGACTGAGAGGTGCCAACCAGGCGGCCTGCCTAAGACTTGGACTACCAAAATACCTCCATCTCTGCTAATGCATATATTTCCTCTAGTTCGGTTTGTTTCAATTTGATTAAGACATGATCTCTATTGTTATTATCTACTCTTGTGTGAATTTTAAATGTTTACAAGCTTCTGATTGGCAAGTTTCTACTACACTTGAGGAAAGGCCTGGTTCTGGGTGGCAATGTGTTCCAATACATAAGATAACTGTTCTTCAATTGTATCCCTGAATCTCAAAATGTACTTGTGAACATCTTACAATTGGCTTTCAAATAAATCGGTATTGTGGACTTCTTCAAGGAATGGTTTGGGCTTCAGCTCAGAGATCATTGTATCACGGCAAGGTTATACTGTGCATTAATTAATATTTTATTTGAAGATATTGTACGACGGGGAAACAAATATCTTGCAACTAAACCCCTCTGAAGATTCTGTACATTTTGTAAATACTGTCTAGAATAAAGATGCTATTGCTACTGTGGTGGGAGCTGGCTGATAGCCAAATTGGTAGACAGTAATTTACAGCCACAAAGAGATGAAAGATTAACTTTCAATGAAAAACAACCACCAATCAGAGGACTGTGTTTTTCTGCTAACAATAATCTATAATATGTACATGAAAATCCATAAATAAGTATTGATTTCGATAATAAAGGATCTGTTGACTGGCCCTTGTCTTCTGTTGTTACACTGCTAATAACTTTATCCCTTGAAAATAAAAACCACTGCAACCGCAGCTTCAAGCCTCTAGCTGTAAACTGTAAACGTAAAGGAATAAAATAGCAAATAACTTTTAATTACGCATCGGGAAGCCATAAAATCCACTCAAAAGTAGACTGAATACTGTTGTTTTCTTGAGAAAACTGATAGACCGTGAGTCTATACTACTGCAGACAACAATCTGAAAGTCATTTTCATATTTTTGCAAAGTCTTCTCCTAAGGATAACATGATTGCCAATATCGGTAGGAGGAAGGAAGACATTGGTAACTGCATTAACAAGTGAGACAAAGTGGTCTATACATCATGCATCCAACAACAAAAAAAAACAAAGTGTGAAGCCGTGTAGTATCACTTCAAATTCTGTAATAAAAAAATGTAAATTTAGTAGGAAGATTTCGTGAAATAAAGAGACAAATGTAGTCAGAACAAGATTTTTTAAAATTTTTTTATTCCTTCACGTTCTCAGTGGAACATAGGTAGGCGTCGAACTATAGACTTGAAGTTTCGCTAGGAGTGGTGTTTACTTGTACGGAATGCCTCATGCCTTCCAATCTTCCCTCTTCACCAGTCTTATTACTGGCTTAGCAAGGTAAAGGAGTGAGTTGATGGCTGGAGATCGAATCTCAGGCCACATGTGTGGCTGGTGAGCTACCTACGCTAAAGTCAAGCATACATTATTATTATTATTATTATTATTATTATACACCAATGAAAACTATCATACGGAAATGAGGAAACATTTAAGCAAAATAGAGGCAAATCAACTTAACTTACCAACAGTACCAAATGAAGATAATTGTCAGTAGGATAACTAAGAGTGTAACAAATAAGCCAACTATTAAACCGATTGTCGCAGAATAGAATCCTATAAGAGACAGAAAAGAGGATAGACAAGGATTAGAGTATTTACAAAAATGAAAAGCAAAAAATGACAAACTGAGGGAAATTGTTGTTTACAGTTAAATGAATATACGTTAAGCGAATATTTTCAATACCTTAATACTCATACTGGACATGTTGTGTTGAATGAAGTTTGGTGAATGCAGATTTATCAATCGTCTGCAACAAAGTTTACTATTTTATCACCATATGCCTGTCAGTTTACGTCATTTGTAGTGTAGATGTAATACCAGACTGTCGACCAAAGGTTCTGTGTTCTGCTCAGCTCAGCAGTACACCCCGACCTTCTTTATGGTTGTGGGGAAACATGGCCGTTGGAAGTGGAAGACATGAAAAGCCCGACTAGCTGTCCTTGATCATAGGCGCTTGCGTTCTATCTTCTATATGTGTTAGGTAGTATAACAGAGTGAGCAGTTTTGAGGTTCGGCCTCAGTCGAGTGTTAGGTAGTGGGAGGGGAAATCAATCGACGAGGTTGTAAAGTCTCACCGATTGAGGGAGATAGTTAGGAAGTGTGTTATACATACTAGTCTATGCATCGCCTTCCTCGGTAGGTGATGTTAGTACGCAATGTTAGAACTTTGCATATCTGTGCAAAGTTATATTTTGAAACAAGTCAGTCAGTCAATCCACAAATGGGCGGACCGATGTAGAATTATATGGAATAGACACACTCTGGAGAGGCTGTCGAGTGACATTGCGCTCCAAGCACTCAACAGGAACCCTAACCGGAAAACATCTGGTTAAGCGTGCACGAGTGACATGTGAGAGATGAAAGCATATAGGTAATCGTAGAGCCATCTAAAAAGGACAGCAGAGAACTCAGGAAAATGAAGATATGCTATAGAATGTCCATGTTTCACCCGAAATTCAAGGGAATAATAATTCTCAAAACACAAGAAAAATAAATACAAAGGAAGAAGTATTAAATAAACTGACAATTAAGAAGATGCACGTCAAAACCTCAGCTAAAGATTAGCTCAGACTTCAGACCTTCATTAACAGTTGTCTTCCCTCAATACCACTCAAGATCAGATGGCCAGAAAAGATCAGAAACAGGGATCTCTGGCAATGAGCGAACCAACCAAGAACCGGTTGTGAAACAAATCGGCAGGAAGAAATGGAGGTGGATTGGCCATAATCTGAGGAAACCATCAAGTGACATCACTAGACAAGTCATCGCTCGAGTGGAACCTGAAACGGAAGCGGGTGGCAAGTTGGTCGTCAGTGTGAGGGTGACATAGGGGAGGAGGTCATGTGAAGAGGAGATGAAAGCATATGGGCAGACTTTGAGTGGGGTGTAAAAGTTGGCAGAAAACCGAACGCAATGGAGAGGAATTAAAAGATATAATAATAATAATAAAGATTAGCGAACAAACTGACGTCAAGCTGAAATATACTCACGAAATTTAGCTCAAGTGTTAACTGTCACGAATACATCCTTATCTATTTTAAAGTGCACTAATTCGAGTTAATCGATCCTAATGTGTTGATTGCAGGTGGAATTCGGAAGGTGTCAGGAAGGTAGAAGATATATGACTCGTACACAATCAGAGGGCAAAGCATAGAGGAGAAAACAAATCAGGACAAAAGATTCCTATGTACCGTTTCGCTTTGATTAGGGATAGATCCTTTCCAATGTCAAAATATCGCCCTAACCGTCACTCATGATAATAAAGAAGAAGTTGACAAAATCTATCCCTTGAACGAAGTTTACAACTATATATATATATATATTCATTTGGTGAGAAAACACTGAGTCAGTAGTTTTTCTTAAAGTGTAAGTAACTTCATTGTATATTAGCGCAGATATACAGAAGAACTTATGGTTTTCAAGTGTTAGTATTAAGGTATTTGATTGGTGTCAAGTTTGCCAACGAACTGACGAGGTCAGTTGAGGAGTACTCGTTATCTGTTTCTCCCTCAACAGTTTGCACTGATTACCCCTAGGATAATAATCTAATCACATACCTTCACATTATAAAAACTGCATATACCACCTTATACTAGATAGCAAGCCGCAGTCATTATATGAGGCTGCAATAATGTCTAACTATGCAGTAGGAATAACTACGACTTATGGAGATGGAGGGCTGTTCACTCCCAGATATTTCACTAAGATCTAATAAAAGATCAATGTTTGTGAAAATCTAGCGCTTGAAAGATTGAAGTTCAACTTCTAAAAGATATATAATAATAATGATTTACTTTATTCCAAAAACAGTACTTGTGATACAGAATGGAATTTTCAGCATTAATCACAATATTGCATCTAATTTCCTCAAATTATAAATAAAATTAATCACACAGAAAATTTTCCACATTTACAATAGAGGTAGTGTCAAAAACATGCAGCATATAAAATGGAAATAGAAATAATAATGATAACAGCTAGGGTAATAATAATAATAAGAATACAAGTGAAAATTGCCGTTGGCTTGTGTCACACAGTATTGGCAATGTGGTATAGAAATCCTAACATGTTTAAAAATATTGAATATAATGTTCTTTCTACATGATATGGTGAAGGGAAAAACAAAGATTACAGCCGTCATGGAGATAAGTTGGTGTTTGCAATTATGAGAGTAAAACAGAGAAGTAACAGGACCATAAATATAATAGAAATAATAAAAGTAAAACTTGAAGGTATATAAGGATGGATGGAGGAAATTGTTTATTTACTAGATGAAAAAAGGTTAGTTAATTCTTGCCTGACACTATTTTCATCACATAAAATACGTGCCAAGTATGGTATCATAGAATTTCTATACTTAGACGTGCGAGCATACAGTTTTCTGAAGTTACTCCTTGTTCTACCTGAGGAGATGCAAGGTGAAAGCTGAGGGTAAAGCGGATGCTCCAAGTCAGACAAAATCCCTTTAGCAAATTTATTGCACGAAGTCAAGTGCCTATCGACAACGACGTTAACTATGTGGTCCACTGGGACACCACTCACCCTACTGACAGTCTTCAGTATTCTACGAATTGTGACATAGTCTTTTTTAAGCAAACCAGGAAAGAATAAGGGTGAGCAATAAAGAAGAATAGGTAGGATGCAAGAGTTTATGAACTGTAAAGAGGGGTTGAGTTATACCCGAGTGTCTTAACTTCTTAATGTAAAATGTCAAGCGGAATATTTTACTGGAGATTGCTAAGACATGGGAAGACCAGGAGAGATCAGAAGAGAGAATGAGTCCAAGATACTTAATTTCTGATTTGATTCCTATATCATTGTCGTCAATTTTACAAGTGTCATGAGAATCGATGACTTCTTTTAACTGTCGTTTACATCTTAAGCTGAAATCAACAGTTTGACACTTAGAAGGATTCAGTTTAAGACCGTTAGACTCAGACCATTTGCTGACTTCCGATAGAAAGCTATTTATTTTAGTACAATCTAGCTGGGAGTTAACAGCCATTGAAACCGTTAAATCATCAGCGTACTTCACAAAGTTTATTTCATCAGAGTGAGGCAAGTCATGCAAGAAGAAAGAAAAAAGAAAAGGAGAAAGAACAGCACCTTGAGGGACACCAGCTTCAGTAGGCAATGAAGTGGAAGACTTCCCTTTATATACGGTGTACTGCTTTCTATCTGAGAAATAGGAATGTAACCAGTTAACAGCCCAACATTCTGTTTGACTAGCAGCAAGTTTATTTAATAAGATGTCCCTAGGGACCGAGTCGAAAGCAGATGTATAGTCTAGGAAGGCACAACGAACAAATTTAGCCCCCTTGTCTAGACTGGAAGCAATGTTATGATATAAGACGGCAGCTGCATCTAAAGTGCTTCTACTGTGCTTATAGGCGAATTGTTTAGGGTCATTAAAGGATTTAAGCGAAGGTATAAGACTAAGTAAAAGTAATTTCTCCATAGTTTTCAAAAAAGGAGAGGTAATAGCAATGGGTCTAAATTTGACACATGCTCCAGTGGATGATTTAGGTATGGGTACAACTTTAATGTCCTTCCAAACGGCAGGCACAATATTATAGGAAAAAGATTTGTTTTATTCTAAAGTACTTCAAAAGTACTATAGCATGTTTACTCAGATATATGTCAATGACACAACCTAAAAGCTAGATAACAGGTTATTCGGATATTGTTAAAATTATTTCCAACATTCAACTGAATCGAAGTAAAAAGGACAATACCATGTACAAATAAGTTATACTTTTTTGAATTGTACAAGTAAATAATTTGCTAATTCAAACATGTTAGTCTATTTTTGTCATGTTATGCATTTTTGTAAGAGATCAATATGGGGAACTATCGCTAATGTTGTATCCATGTGTAAGTACAAATATAGGATAATATACACAGAAGGTCGTCACCTTGGAAACAGCTTTTTCTAAAAAAAATAAAACATCACCTCAATAGTAGCCAATAAACTGAAGAAGAAGAAGAAGAATAGTTTGTTTTTCCTATTTAGCACTCAGATATTTATATTTGAAGTGTATAAAGGAAATAGAATAAGTGAACCGGATATTTCTCCAATAAAAAATCTTCCAAAAATACGCATTTCTTCTTAATTACGAGTTTACAGTTGTTGTCAATGCCAGATGTTTATATTTTGCCTCAACATTTGAGTGAAGATAATAGAAAACCAAGGTGTCATGGAAAATAGACATCTAAATCAGGACTAGTCAGGAACTTCAACTCCGTCATCTAGCCAATAGATCTCAACTCAGTGCATAGTGTCAATACATATGTGTACAACGTCAACACCGTGGTAGTGAGCAATTCCATATAAATTTGAAAATCCCCATTGAGTCATGTGAAAAAGAAAAAACGTTCAGTGAAGAGACTGTTTTCGGCGAATTCATTCACATAGCTGAACAATCGCATTTATATCAGTTTCTTTATTAGATATACGACACAGTAAGTGAAACAGTATTATTATTAAGAACTAGATGAAAATGTTTCGAACAGAATTTATTGTGGTGTCGCTGGCACAGTGGTTAAGACTCTC